CCGAGTGGCCCCTCCCGTGGAGCTCGCGCATCCAGTTTTTTTCTTTTTCTCCCGACCCCGATCCTGAGCTCTCTGGCTTTTCCCTCCTATCCCAGAGCCTCCGTGACTGCTCGGTTCCCAGAGACTCCGAAGCGGTCTTCGTCTTCGGAGATGGTTCAGGAGGCGAGTTTTCTGCCGACCTTAGGAGGGGTCGGTGCGGCTCGGCTGGTGTTGTGATTCGATGGTACCGTTTCAGACGGTCCGGGCTCCTGGGGGGTCCAGGGGGGGGGTCGGACGTCCTGCGAGGCCGAAGGCAGACCGTGCCTCGATCTCAGCTGTAGGCTTTCGCCTTGGCCGCGGAGCAGACCTCAGGACCCATCGTTCACGCCACCGATCATTTCCCTTTGTTGTCGGGTTGGGGGCTGGGGAGGTCTTGGAACATCGCTGGCGCTAATTCGGAAATTTGGCTCACGATTAAAACCGCCGTGGACGGCAGAGGGGGGGCTCCGCCAGCGCTGCATGGACCCCCATCGCGCGTCGCGGAGGACAATCCCGAACTAAGTGATCATGGGAAATTTCTGGCGGTTGGCAACAGGCTGGCTGACGAAGCGGCCGTGGAGGCAGCATCCTGGGCATGGTCCCTCAGTCTGGTCGGCTCGGAACCCAAGACTGATCTCTGGGACGTCACCGCGGCCCTGGTGCGGCGCAGGGCCCGGAGGGCCTTGGCCGACGCGGCCGCTGCCGATCCTCGTGGGGACCCCTTGGCCAAAGCCTCCGTTGGTCCTGCGGTGCCCAGGAGGGGCTCCAAAATAAAGGGCGCTGTTCGGAATCCCGCCCACCGCTTTGAGGCGGCAGGCAGGGCTTCTCGTCGCTGTAAGTGGGGGTCTCTCTCGTCCAAGGACGCCCCTGTGGTCTGCAGGACTAGTTGCGCGTCAAACGTCCTGGCTGATTTCCCAGGGATGTGGCCCTCCAGGCTCGGGGCCCCGTGGAGGTGCGCGGGGCCGTTCTTCGTGGATCCCACTCCATGGCCCGCTGGGACTCGCATGGCTTGTATCTTTGCGTTAGATGAGCTCGGACGGCCACTGCGGATGGCCGCCAGCTTGTTCGAGAGTGCCTTCCCATCACTCGCAAAGGCCGGGAGAATTTAGGCGCCTCGAGGTTGGCGCGAGACATCGCTCGCGCGCGGGCCTTGTCCGCAGCTATACATCGCGCTGGGGTTGAGCGACAGCCAGAAACCACCCCGCAGTTTGAGTCGGCCCCTTCCCGCCCTCCTCATGGAGGGGGCGAAGGGCTGGGGGGGGGCCCTTAGGGTCGCCTCTGGGGGTTATGGCTCTGTCATCCCCCTCCTCTCTCTGTCTCTCTTCCTCAGCACGTTGCGCTTAACGATAACGACGAGTCCAAAGAGCGCTACTCCGCAAACGCCTAATCTTTGCACAACTTATACAAAGAGCTCGCCGCAGGCGGCGATTATTCTACAAAAAGCTCGTCGCAGGCGCTTAATTTTCACAAATTATACAACGAGCCCACCGACGGCGTAGATTTTTGGTGGAAGCAATGTGGGTGGGTCGCCGCTGGGTCGCTGGCCGGGTCGCGCGTGGGTCGCGGGTAGGCCGCGGGCGGGTCGCAGGTGGTTCGCTTTGGGGTCGCGGGTGGGTCGCTGGGTGGGTCCCAGGTAAGTCACGGGTGGGTCGCGGGGTAGGTCGCGGGGCAGGTCGCGGGTGGGTCGCGGATGATTTGCGGGGGGGTCGAAGACAACATTTACGCAAAGCAACGTAACAATAACAGCAGCAACAGCACCAACACCAACAACAAGCAGAAGCCGCGCTGCGGAGTCCCACTGCAGCCACGCACCCAGGGATAGTGAATGACCGTTCGGCCCCTTTGCTCGGATGATAATCGCAGAGGTCGGGTCACCACGTTGAAGGATCTGACCGGTGGCAGTCCCACCTGTAATGATTGCCATCTGTCCGTGCAGCAAGGGCGGAAACTTACGCTACAAACTGACACATCTGGCCATATATGTCGGGGATGTGTCAGACGAGGTCCCCATGTTGCACAAGAGCCGAGCTCCATCCGTGCAACATTTCCACGTCATTGGGGTCGGGAGCCGCAGCAACGATAAGTTTTCCCGCGCGAGCCATATGTTAGCCGTTCTGCAACCGCTTGAGTATTGGAAAATCCGACAAACCTTTGTGTGCGACTCTGGGTCGAGAGCAGCATCTTGAAAACGGCATGTCCTCCACCTGGTGCAGTTGCTGGAAGTTTCCAGGACGAACCTGCGCAGCGCTGAGGTGAGAGCCGCAGTCCGAAAGCCTGGGCACTTCACCCACATAGCAGATCTCAATGACAAAATGCAATGTTAGTGATCGACGCGCGCGGCGCGAAGGACCTGGCCACATTTTGAACACGCCCTGTGTCGCCGGGAAGTAACTCTTCGACGTCCGAGCATCCCTTCTTCTCCTCTCGGCCGTCCCCCCCCCTTCTTTGCCCGCCGGCCAATTCGCTAGTTAGTGCCCCTGTCTAGCTTCTCGTTGGAGCGGTGTTCCCCGCCTCGCCGCTGACGAAAAAGTGTGTTGCTTGGAAGCGTCCAACCTCAACGATATACGCCACCAGGGGGCACCGGGCGAAAAGTCCGGCCTGCCTTACCGACATGCCTGGCCGAGCGATTGGCAGGCGGTGCTTGCGGGGAAGTGGGGTGGATAACGTGAAGAGAGGGAGAGAGAGAGGGAGAGACAGTGAGGATGTCGCGTTAGTCGTGCTAGATGTATCTGCAAAGTGGTGAGTTTTAAAGATGAGGGGCTTTAATTTGGAAGGAGGTGGCAAACGGGAAAAGCACGATAGTTTGGTGATCATCAGGACGACGACAGGGCCTAGTAGGAGGAGGCGGAGGAGGAGCGGGATGAGGATGACGACAAATGCGACGACTACGGCGACGACGGCAGGCTCGAATCGGGGATGATCATGTCCTTGTGTTGCTTCATTACTTATCGTTATGGCCCCTGGCCGGTGCCGCCGACCCGGACGTTCCTAATGTTTGCGGGCCGCCACCGCGCTTGGCTTGCTAATATGGCTGGCAAAGGAGTAAAAACCTTCGGGTGCCTCGGGAGGAGGAGGAGGAGGAGAGCAGAATAAAGTGGAGGAGGAGGAGGAGAAAGGAGGAGGAGGCGGCCTTCGCCAGTGGCCGTTCGGAGCGCGAGCGGTCGTCCGTCATCGACGTGTGCTACCAGCATGTGGCGGCGACGCTCCAGCGCGGCAGCGTGGCCTTTTTTGGCTGCGTCTGCGCTCCTCATCCCCTAGCGCCCTTCATCCTCCTTCTTCCCCGTCTCTTCCTCTTCCCCGCTGCGTTTTATGTGAGTGAGTGAATTTATATGGTTCGGTCGAAATTGCACGCGGGACGTCCCTTGCATTGGAATGTGTGATTTTGCCGAACGTTTCATGCGGACTTGTTATTCAGCCTCGGTTTCGCTTCGTCTCGCGTGGCTGCGTCCCTTCGGTTTTTTGGCGTTCGGTTGCCTGGGCACTCAAGGCCTGGCCTCCTTGTGTCGTGGAGGGTGGTGGACTGGATGAGAGTCCTCCGTGGTTCATCGCCTCGGCCCCGACGGGGGCGCGAAGGCTGTTGCCGGACCCGGACATGCGTTCCTCACACGGCTGCCCCAGTGAACACTCGTCCCAACGGTGGACGGGCGCTGGGGCTGCGGCGGCAGAAGGAGGAGGGGGGGAGCAGTGGGGGGAGGATGATTTCGCCGCGGCGTGACGATGCCCGACCGTGAGCGTCAGGATGGGGCACGGGGATATCCCAGGACCGATGTCGATCGGGCTTTTTCGACCGATCTCGAGCAAGCACCGAGCACTGGCCCACACGAGGTACAAGCGGATGAATGTTTGGTTCCAGGCGGCAGCGCGCTGGAGCAACACTTTTGTTGTCCCAGCAGTCCTGTGGTGTTGGGCCCTCGCTCTGAAGACAGAGCGCCCCGCGCCCACTCCTTCCTCACGCTGCCCCCGCCTCTGCCCTCATATCGGCAAACCCCTCGCGCTCGTCGTGGCCCCACATGGACCAGCGGCAGTGCTCACACGCGGCCCCGCACCAATGTCAGCGCACCCGTCACACGCCCCGTGGCCCCAAGGCCCCGCATAGCGTCACCCCACTTATTCGGCACACCCCTCGCGCGCTTCGTGTCCACAAGGCCCCAGCATGTGCGTTCACATATGTTCGCATGAGGCTCCCCGCCAATGCCGGCACACCCTACACGCGCTTCATGGCCCCATGTCGAGCTTTATTTGAGGACCCAGGTGGTGCGTCCAAGGCGGTTCCCCTCCACTTCGGCACACCACTTACATGTTTTCAACTTGCGCCCATGGCGCCCACTGACACGACATGGCAGACGAGCGACGGAAGGCAAGCGAAGCGGGACGCCCCTCGCACGCTTCTTCCCCGTGGGTGCGCCCTTTCCCTTGAGGTGCGCCTGTTCAGGTGGCAGCGCCAGCACAGTCAACGCGCACAGTAAGGACGTTGCCTGTGCGGCACGTCCTTTGCCGTTTCCACTAGGTTTTCTTGTCGCCCGCCGCCCAAACAATCATAACTTCGGCCTCCAAGGGTCTTGTGTCCTTACCTCCCGACGTTAATATACGTTTTCACTGTACCAATCCGCCAGACAGCAGGACAACCATCGTGGCAGGCTTGCGCGGAGAAGGTCAGAGAAGGTGGACACTGCTCGGCCTCTGCGTCGCCCTGCCCGTCGTCCTCCTCCTCCTCCTCCTCCTCCTCCTCCTCCTCCTCTTCCGCCTCCTCCTCCTCCTCCGCTTCCTCCCCCTCCCCCTCCTCTTCCTACTCCTGTTCCTCCCTTCCTCCTCCTCCCCCTCCTCCTCCTCCTCCTCCTCCTCCTCCTCTTCCTTCTCCTCCTTCCCCTCCTCCTCCTCCCTCTCCCCCGCCTCCCCCATCGTCAGCCTCGTTTCTCGTTTCTCTTTCCTCGCCCAGCCGCTTGGCCCGATGATCACGGCCACCCCCGCCCACCTTGGCCGAGGGCGTGAAAGAAAAGGTTGACAAGAACGCGGAGGGCATCAAGGAGAAGGTCGCGGGCAAGGCGCCGGACTGTGCGCGCACGCGCTCGCAACCTCATCCAGCTTGCCATTGGCGCCGTTCCACGCGATCTGTACATTCGGGGGAGCCGTCGCGTTGCGGCGCCATGAGTTGCTTGGGTTCCTCGTGGTGGGTGACAGAGCGTATCCAAGGTTCAAGTGGTTGACGCCATTCCGCCGACCCCCAGCGTAGTAGAGACGTCCAGGAAGTTCGGTGGGTTGTGATGGAACCGGAGTGGCGAGGTGTTTTTCTTCACGCCCGCGAGGGTGCAGCAGGGGGAGAGGAAGGAGGAGGAGGAGGAGGAGAAGGAGGAGGAAGAGGAGGAGAAGGAATAGGTCTCACAGAGCCGTCTCGTCGCGCTGCCATGATTGGCTTGGGCTTTCAGTGGTTGGCGACAGAGAGTATTCCTCACTGGTGCCGCGGCTTGGTGACGGGGGCACCACAGTGTGTCTGGAGGGTCCACGGTTGTGCGGCCGTGGG